AATCGCTTTACCGATGTCTATCAAACTTAGTTCAGTTAAGTCTTACTCAGCATATTATCGAAAACGTTTGAAATATGGAAAAAATACCACTGCTCATCATGCAAAGGTAGTTTAGAAAAAGTTGAAACGACGTTATTTTATACCTGTGCCTGTTCTTAATTTTTTCCACTTTGAAAACCGCCAAATTAAAACATTTCTATGAATGTTACCAAACATATTACATATTTTATTTTTCGCTAATTCTTTATAACAACAAAACTTCAAAACTCAGAGTACCAAACTTCGCGCAAAATTAAAGAAAATTATCTAAATTAAAAAAAAGACATCTCACTTTTTAATTACCCTCTTTAGGCAAAATTTGGGAAAGCAATTTTGTAGCCCGTTTAATTTTAGTATAACAAAGTGTAAGTTTGAAGATGCTATGAATCATCGTTGATTTTTGGCAATTATTATTTTTTTACGCTCATGCACGTTTTTTTCACATAAAAAGCGTGTTTGAGCACTCTTTGTATGGAGAAGATATGCAACACCTTTCACAAAAGAAAATTGTCAAAATTAAACGATCAGTAAGTTAGTGTTTTTTCATATTACGGATATACATACATATGCGTATGCAAAAGGCATGAAAACGATCTTGCTTCACTTCGATGCCGATTTTCTGCCAATAAGTGCAGAATTTCAAACGTTTCGTTATCGTTGGGTAAAAAGTAAAATTACAAGCCAACAGGTCATATGGTCTTGGTTGTATAAAGTTTTGAGCTTTATGTTGGGGGAAAGAAAATAAAAATCAGGTGTCAATCATTATTCTTGAGTGGAAAAAATAAAAATCGCAATATAATCTTTAAGGTATCCACACACCTACGAGATTCTGTCGCAACGAATCCGCACCGTTTTTGATGCTACAGACGTTACTACGTCGAAAACGCAAGAACGCACACATTAGGGATGGGTAAATTCGATATTCGAAGCTTCAAGATTCGAATTTTAATCGAACTTTAGCTCTAAAATGACGAATTTTTGAAATCGAACTTTGTGGTGCTAAAATTCGGATAAAATCGAATTTTTCTAGAAAAAATCGAATTTCGTCTTCATTTGCAAAAAATCAGCTCTGCAACTTTCTTCTTTCTGACAAAATTTGGCATCTCTGTGTGTGGCACCATATAAAAACCGATATTTTTGATGCAGCGAATGAATTAAAAATATACAAGAAAATGGAATAATTGGAACTTCGATAAATGTTTAAGTATTAACTCACAGTGAAATGTATTTATAGTTACACATCTCAGCTATACAAATTAATTCATAAAAAATAAATAATATTTCAGATGCTTTATGATCTTAAAACTTTATCTAATGTCTGGTTTTCATTATGTCGAAATAACTGACATCAAAAACTGCTTTAAATAACAGCTGTTCACTGTTACATCATAAAAACTGACCAAATGTAGATATCGCAGTGCATTTCAGAGGCTGTCGTCAAATTTTTTGTGGCAGGTCATTGACATCCCATTTTCCAACACTGATGTCAAATGTGAAGTGTAATTTTTTGCATGAGTCAAAATTACCGGCCGTTTAGCTATGGACAAACCAAAAATGTGGCTGGGTAGAACTCTTCATGCCCTTTTATCTATTTTGTTAATTGTTTACTTAAAGATCTCGCTTTAAAAAGCAAAATCATACGTTATCATTAAATGTAAAAGTATGTTCACATATCAATATTATCTCAATCAAAGCTCGTTTTTTAATCACCCCGTTTACACAGGCAAATTTCAGATTATTAGCCGTCAAATTTGTTGAAAATGAAGATAATCTCCTTATATGTGAACCTAGTATAAGACTTTTTTAATAAACATACGTATGATTGCATATGTATTTAACGTGAAGTATTCAAAAATTTCTTTGTTTTTTCTAAAGCAAGAAAAATAAATGAAATTATGTTATATGCCACAAAAAATTAGTTTCAATATGCTACATTTGCCAAATTTTTGGATTTTTTATATATTTTTTTGAAAAAAAAATAAATTTATTTATATTTATTTTTGGTTGTGAAGCAAAAAAGAGCGATATGGATAGTTAATCATATTAATATTAGTTCATCTGAATCTCTTTTTCGATTTGAGTTGTCATTCTTACAAACAAACTTTTAAATTTTCAGATTTTTTTTGTGAAAATTCGAAAAAATTCTAACTAAATCGAATTTGCACCACCAAATTTCGAATCGAATAATCGAATGGTTGGGCAATGTTCGAAATTCGGAAAAAATCGAATTTGAACCCCCCACTACCCATCCCTAGCACACATCTGTGCGATTTTATCGCAGTAAATCAATCAATCAATGTCAATTTATAGACAAACAAAAAATATTTTTCAACAAAAATAAACTTCTTAACTTTTCTACATCAAATATGTTTTGTTTTTTTTACGTTAAATTTTGTTTTAATATTGTTAAATCCTTCTATTGACCTTTTTCGTTATCAAAACGCTACAGTCTGCGATTTCGGCACGAGGAAAAGAAGAACTGCGCATGTTCGAATAAATCGCTGCAGCAAAATCGTATAAGTGTGTTGTTCCTCATTTAAAACTATGGTCGGCATTGTTGTAATTTTTGTCGGACCGACAGAATCGCATAGGTGCGAAAAAAATAAAAATCAAAAGTAATCCTTATGCTCAAGCAAGATTATAAAACTCAGAATCTGAGTATTATTCTTGAGTGAAAAAATAAAAATCGCAAGATAATCATTATTCTTGAGTGAAAAAATAAAAATTGAAGGATAATCATTATTCTCGATCAAAAAACTTAAAATCAAGGGGTAATCATTATTCTTGAGCGAAAAAATAAAAATCATATTTTAATTATTATTTATAATTTTTTTAGTAAAACTTGAAAAATAAAAATCATTGTAAATTACGGTATGACATACAAAGTTGGATAAGTGCGTATACATAAAATTGCTGTACGACACTTACAACATGTCGATTTTTTAATTCAAATTTAAAAAATGATTAATGATTATTTTTCATCCCAGTATACAATTGCACAAAATGAGCTGCAAGGTGGCGCTGGAGTCGAGTTATTGCTAAAAATCGTCAAGTGGAGTCACTCGGAGACAACAAGGATCAAAGTTAATTTCCTACCGTTAAATCAACCACCAGAACCATTGCGGTCCTTGCTTTACGCCGACTAAACAGAATAAAGATTATTCTTAATAAATGCCTACAAATACGATTGTAAGACAACTAAGGTATTTCGTCTGAAATAAGTCTATGTATATTGGATTTATGTGGACTAATGAAAACGTGGACTAGTTAGACCGTTGGACCAAATGTTTAAATAAAAAGAAATTTTAGGCGTGACGAAGTGCGCCGGGTCTGCTAGTAAGCTTATAAATATAAACTTATAATAAATGTTAAAAAAAAGCTTTTTATAAGCGTTTAAATATAAATTTATAATAAGTTTCAAAATAAGTTGCTTATAAGCGTATGAATATAAACTTACTAAAAATTTTCAAAATAAAGCTTTTTATAACCATTTATTTAAACGATATTTCATTAATAAGTCATACATAGATTGTTTAACATCTACCCGCCCTTATTGTAGCACCCTTTATATTAACACTGTGGAACATAAAAACAAACCTAGAGTGCGCATATATCAGGTTTGATAACTGTTGGCCATACGAACAATGCCACATACTCAGATTTACTGGCTCAATTCGTGTTCTCGAGAAAACAAGATTTCAGGATCCGAAAATCTGAGTATAGCGGCCAAATTTTTTTCTCCAAATTTTTAAATGTATCGTTTTTTGGTCTATGTATATTTGCTTTGTATGCTATTTTCAATAAATATCGGCCAAAAAAAGAAAAAAAATTTGGCCTCCGTACTAAGATTTTTGGATCTTGAAAACTTGTTTTCTCGAGAACTCAAATTGATCTAGTAAATCGGAGTATGAGGCATTATTCGTATCGCCAACAGCTATCAAACCTGATATATGTATCCGCACTCTAGCTTTTTGTACTCCACAGTGTAACATATGTAGTAACATCCAAATATTCTGTAACAAATGTGATATTGAAACTAAAAGAAATGCAAATTTTCTGCGGACTCATCTACACTGGCTAAAATATATATAGAGAAGAGACATTTTAGCATTTTTTGGCCACTTAAAAAAAAATATATGTACAAAAACATATAAATTGATGATAACACACAAACATTAAGGGCCGTTTTCACCATCTCTGGTTAAAACTAATCTCCAGTTAAACACCGTTACCGACGTTATCGACGCAATGTTATATGCATGGAGTCAGTAACGTCGGTAACGATGTTTAACTGGGGGTTAGTGTTAACCAGAGATGGTGAAAACAGTCCTAAGCATAAAAAAGTTAATTATTATATCTTGTTGCGTGCAGCAGCTTTCAATTACATGCGGTTATTGGCGAATTGGAAAAGCAGCTACATATTCCGCTTGATCGGCGCCATTCTCATGGATTAAGGTTTCTGAAAAAAATTTAATAACTTTTTAATTTAATGTAAAGGCAAGCAATGATAAGGAGGACGCATCATTTGAAGGCCCGAATGTTCCACCGATTAGCGCAGCGGTCCTTGATTGGAAGTAACGTTATGTTCAATTTGTTCTCCGCGGACTTCACTCTCCTTAAGAAAACTTATAATTTCTTTATGTTTAGGCCACTCTCCTTTTCACCTTATTATTTATTTATTATATTTTTTCTTCTAATAATTATGATTAAAATACATTTAAAAAACGTAAACACGCACTTACAATTGAAAAAATGTTATATTTACAGCTTCATACCGTTGGCATTTGCATTTCATTTTTAAGTGTAGGTGATTTATAAACATCCGCTCTCAACACTTAATAAAGGTTCATTTGAAAAAGCTTTAAATAAACTGAATATTAAAAACGCTTATTTAACGCTTATTATAGCAAACTTACTTAAAGTTATTTTTAAAAACATTTACTGAAATGCTTGTTGGGTACATTACCATGCGTAAAGTTCTGAATTTATGAGTACTATAAAGATTACTTACCAGCTTTGTCGGTTCTGCAATTCTTTCAAGTTGACTTTTATTGCTACTGCGTAATTAAAACCACTTACTTATTTCACAGTAGTTAAATTCTAATTAGGTGAGATTAAGCATACATGACTTCTTTGTACAAAGTACTTGACAAAAGCATAAAAATAGATCCCCATACAAACTACTATATGGACGATAATACATACGTAAGTATTGTATGTATGTATATCTTTAAGTTAGAATGAATGAAAAAATTCAAAATACATATGACCTTAGTCTAACCTTACTTAGAAATACCGAGCAGGTAATAAAAGTTCTGCCTAAAGTTGCTCAGTCCCTTTTTGGTGCGCTCTTCTTCGCGTAAATAACCCAAGCGCTGCTTGTGCAGTAGCCATTCTGCGTGTATCTTTGGATCTGCCGGACCCCACTTTGGACTAGGTGTTACGCCCTTTTTGATTGTCTAAGTTGGTGGAAGGAAATATTTTTACTTAAATACAATTGTAATTATAGTTGTATATCGTCGTTATCAATGCAAAACACGTTTTAATACTCTGTTAGCCACTTCGAGAATTCCTATCGAAAACTTAAATTTTCACAAAAATTAGCTTTTAATGTGTAGCAAAATCTTTATTTGATTTAAGAGCTATCCATGATATTAAATCCAGCTTTATTAGGGGATTCACAAGACGTTTTAAAGATTTTAAAATTTGTAAAACTTATCAACATAAAATAAATTTTTAGAGGATTACGGGTTAACTACATATGTACATCAAGCAGTTTTTAAATTGGTAGAAAATAAAAACATACATATGTACATATATTCTATGTGTATAATTGTCTCTTATTATAGACTGTAAAAGCTGTGACAGACGGCAAAGCTTATGCATATAATCTGGCATACATATGCGCATAATAATTTTGACCTCACAGACGGCAGTTATGCGGATAAACGAGACGCAAGGTCGTGGGTTCGAGTCCCACGGCCAATTAAATTTTCATGTTTTTTTTATTTTTTTTTTTTCATTCTTTTTTTTATAAGTTCTATATTTTTTTTACGTTGCTTTCAGTTAGATGTTGTTGACTTTTTATTAAAATTCAACTCTAAAAATTTAAATTAACTGATAGTAAAATAAAAAAAGTGATATAAAATAAAGCAAATGAAAACAAAATAAAGTAACATTAAATATATAGATCAAATAAAATAAAAAAAATATAAAATAAATAAAAACAAAAAAAAACTTCGCAATCGCTCCAACCGAGGATCGAACCTGGCAGCTACAGGCTTGTATCCCGTAACTTTTACCACTCGGCTACTGCGGACCTTTTCTTGCTTACTTGTAGAAAAGACAACAGCTGACCAGTGTTGTCAACGAAAACTGCCCGGATCCGAGTTAATTCCCAAAAATTTTGAGCATTTGTTCGGCTGCTTATGCGCATATTAAAGAGGAAAATGCATGAGTCAAAGCAAATAAAGGCTGGTTATGCAAATAATCGAGCCCGTTTGTCTACCGTATAAGTCCCCTACAACCATTTTTATTACATTGAAAAATGTTATGACTTGGACATTGCGACGCTTAAGATGTCTTGAAAATCCCCTATCTATGTACGTATGTATATACTTTTTATCATAGTAAAATCAAATTAACGTCGAGGATAGCCACGATGGAAATAAAGCGAAAGGCAATTTGAAAGAAAAAACTAAGGGCATATTTGGGTCAGAGACCCAAAACAAGTCTAAAATAAACCATGATAAAACAGAAGGTAGTTTCAATAAACAACTAATTGACGGATGTTGCTAGCACCGTTACCCTATTGTTAATATTTAAAAATAAATTAGGGAATTGCGAGATGGGAATTTCTTTCACAGTTAATGGGTGTAAATATTTTAGTCTTCTTAGATGAATCCATGCTCGGTGGCTCATAACCTCCGCCTAGGGCTGGGAACTTCATCCGGATTTTTCAACTATCCGGATTACCCGAATATTCGAATATACGGATACCTAAATGAAAAATCCGGTTACTCTGGAAGCTAAGATAATGGCTGAATTTCTTTATTCATTCTGAACGTTTGGACTACACTTTTTTGTTTATTTATTCTTAAGAACGTTCCTGATGATATGTTGACGTATATCTCAAAAGCATTCTGTTTATTCCGGCTGTGAAATGGGATTATCCGGAATGTATAAAGAAACGCAGCCAATATTTGGCTATCCGAATATCCGGATTTTTCATTATCAAAACGATATTTTCATTTCCCAATACCAGGCGCTAATAAATGTGTAGTAACAAGTTTTCTATTTCTATGCACAAAATCGTATGTATAAATTTTTAAATTTTCAAAATTCTACTTTGGAACGAATTAAAAAGTTCAAAAAACAAATTTATGCGTATAGAAAACTTGCTACTTCATATGCATGAGCGCCAGGTATTGGGAAATTAAAGTATCGTTTCGTAAAAATGAAAAAAAAAATATAAAATTGACCGCGAGAGTTTTTTCATGGCTTTAAAATATCATGGACGGAATAATGAAAGCTGTTACTGTACTTTTGGTCGTGGTGAATGCTTTACTAATTGTAGTATTTCTAAAAAAGTGATGACAAGAATAGTGCCATTTGTTTATATTGTGACAAAACGATACAAAACAAACGGTCAACTTCAAGTCCGTCAAGAGCTAATTCACTCTATCGTGTGCTTAACTCAGTAATCAGTTTGATGTATTGTGGAAAGATTTTCCGTCATCTCTTGACAAATTTGCTTTGGACACCGGTTTTCGTTTCAGTTTACATCACACTCCTACCCTGTCGAAAACACCAACAACGAAAATGAGAATATTTATCAGTTTGTTGATTTTTTTTTGGATATCCGAAAATACGAATATTAACCGGATCTTCGTAAATCCGGATATCCGAATAATTGCACAAGCGAATATTAACTGGATATCCATACTATCCGGATTTTATTCGTGTCAACGGATAATCCGCATGGATATCCGGATATTCGAATATGCGGATAGTCCCAGCCCTACCTCCGCCCCTACAGGACGGCCTACTGCTATCTATTCTGACAGCCAGGCTGCTATCAAATCTCTCAACTCTAACGGAACAACGTCCAAAGTAGCCATAGAATGCAGGAAGATTCTCAACCTGCTGGCATTAAAATGCTCCTTGACTATTGTATGGGTCCCGTCCCTGGACACAGGGACATTCTTGACCACTGCCTAGCCGACGAGCTGGCTAGGAGGGGGCGGAAATATCTGAAGTCAATTCTGCTCAGAATGCGGGCATACCTCTAACCTCCTGCAAACACAGAATAAAGGCGGAACTCGTCGAGGAGGTAAATATTAGATGGGCTGCCATACTACCAGGCAAATTTGGCGAAATATTAATGTAAAGCGATCGATAGCTCTTACCCGGCTGGACCGCTCCTCTCTCAGATTAGTAGTCGGGGTAATCACCGGGCACTGCCTGATGGGCACACACGGAAAAAGGCTAGGATACCCCACCAACGATTTTTGTCGCAGTTGCAGAGACGAGGAAGAGATGGAGACCGTTGAGCACTATCTCTGCCATTGTCCCGCCCTGGCCAACGCGCGCAACCAATTCTTCAACAAGTACTTTCTAGATTGCTTAGCCGATTTGAACTCGGCGAACGTCCTCGACTTTTTGTGCTATATAAAACGCACTCGATGGTTCAATTACTAAGGAAGGGTAAGAAAAAATGGCTTCGGCCAGTGGTATCACAACGGACTTTTCCAGCCCACGTGTGCTCCGCGCTCTGCGCGGGCAGCCACTCCGACCTAACCTAGACGAATCCAACCAAGTCTAGTATGAATATGTACATAAAAAGAATGGAATTTTACTTCGAAATACAACGGATAATGGCATATCTGCTTACGTTTATGGTATTTCTCACCTCTACCCCAAACTGAAAATTTATCTGTATGTACGCTCACTCCATTATATCTGCGTACACCCTTCTTTTTTTTTAATATTCACAAAGTTTTGTAAGCTATAATTTTTTTGTTATTTTTGTACTAAAGTATGGCTACATGCTACAGAGAAAATCATATAAATCAAAGTTTCAGTCTGGGCGTGTGTGAATCGGTAACAAAGTTCTATGGGGAAAGCTGTTGAATAATTATTTTACTATGGTGAGACAGTTTTGCCAATCTGCTGTGTGAAATGAAATATTTTTTGACAGCAGTAAATTTTTGATAACCGCATATTTATGAAATTAATATTTTAAGAACAAATCTACCATCGTTGATTGCAATTTATCAATTTAAGCTTTTATTTAACGAAAACTTACACACATCAACAATCTTTGCGATTGTCAAAATTTTGTATTCATTTGTCAAAAATTTTACTAGCCTCATGAGCTACTGAATTTTTATTCACCTTATTGTTGTCAAAAGTTTACTCTTCACACACGCTTTCTGCATACAAAATTAAGGAAAATTTAACGAATTTGTTCAAAATTTTAAACTTTTTACTCAGATTTTCTAAGAAATTTTCTGGTATGCAGTTTTATAGCACATTCAATTTTAGTATAACAGTGTACAAATTTGAAGTGGCTAGGAAATTGCGTTCATTTTTAATAATTTTTGCTGACGGCTCTAGGCATTTTTCTTCATACAAGATATGAGTGATTTTTTTTTTTATGAAAGAAAATACGTATTATTCGTTTCACAAGCGTTCTCCAAGTTGGAGGCTGCAAGAAAAATTCATTCCTTTTCTATGTTTTGACCAACACAGTTTTTCATTAGCTTTCATTTCGCGGCACTGCACTTTTGGAGAGTATGGTCTTGTTCTCGCTAATGATCTATGGTAGCAAAATGTTGAGAACATATGTACGTACGGATATCTTAGAAGCGCTGGAAGTTAAAAAAAAATTGTACCGTGTTCCCTGCAATGTTATTTTATATTTCTGCGCAACTCATTTTTCTTTTTATTATTTTAAGGAATTATTTTATTTTTTGCTGTCGATCAAATTCTTTTCAGAAAAAAAATTTATTATAATTTTCAATCTGGTAGCTAGATTTTGATGAAAATTTCATAATCCCAGCGAAAGTCAAATGGCTAATATGTCATTAAGTGAAACTACCTTCTTTTTTTCTACAATGGAATAAACTAATGGCGTTCTAGCATTTGTTTTGAATTCTGGTATTTGAAATGTAAAGTACTTTTGATCAGCTAGGCATAATGTCAAGGCGAGTTCATACAAGGTGTTTCATAAATAGAAAATTTGTATGCAAAGTAACTTCAGAAAGCTCTTTAAAGCTATTTTAATTTTTTATGAATAAGGACATAAAAAAGTACAACAAATAAATCATTTTGACAATCAGCACAATTGGGCTTGAAACCAGCCGCCAGCCGGTAACAATACTTTTTATGAATTCGCCTTGCATCATGTTTTTAACAATTTACCTATTCTTGTGTTGCCGGACCGTTGTCGAATTTTGTGACATTCTGACAAGTTACCCGGCATTTATAAGTAAACTGACAACATTAAACACGACCAGCTTTGTTTAGGTCAATACTAAGTATAATACCGTTATGCGCGCGATTTTTTTATGCATTAACAAAACCATATCACCTTTCTGAGGTTTTAGACCAAGCCCTGCCGTATGTAAGAATTGCCTTTAAATATAAAATGGTTTGATGTACATTTTGTTGTATTAAAAATTTTCGTATTTGTCATTAACAACGATGATATAAACATAATTTTATTTTTCATCACTACCTTTCCAAAAGAGATATCTTTGTGTGTAGATAAATACCAAACACCCCATAGGGGAAATTGGAGAAAGCCTATCACAAGTAACACCCAACCAGAAACTGTAAAGGAATGCTAATTAGATTTTTGTATTTAATTTCATTAATATATATGTATGTATGTATTTATGTATAAAAACAAAACGGTGAAGTCAAAAAAAGTTAAAGCTGAAAATAGATAAATTTATTCAGTGTGTGATATTAGTGGTATTCATCTAAACCGATAACTTTATCAAGCAGATATTCTTATAAATTTAAGCACTCTGTTATCTGTATCAGTAATTTTATACTACTAGCACGAGGATTAAGAAATTTTAGAAATGACCTCACTAAATGCGAAATAATTATATTTAGACGAGAAAATATTCGTTTAAATAAATATCTAACATAAAGGCGATTTATTTGAAGCGAGTTAAAAGGCAGAATGTCTGTTTGTGTATGAATTCATTTGTCACTGCTACCAAACTGTGCGGCCAAATTATCAGTGAATAAAACAAAACGGAACGGATAATAAATTGAACTAGATTTGCGGTCAAAATTTGTATAGAAGCTCGTTTACACATTTCGAGATCCGCATACAAATTTTGACCGTTAATTTATAAGGTTTACACAATTAAAAGTTTATACGGTTTATAATGTATTTATAAGGTTTGATGAATACCCTTATTATTATTTTGTATGTACATATATCCAGATGTTATACTTACTTTCAACAGAAGTAGGATATGACCATGTTGCATAAGTTAACGGTTCCATAACCACAAGGGAATAAATAAATATTACCGCCAAAAGTATTGGAGTTATTATACCCCAACAAAGGCGCCAGTAAATTGATACTTTACGGTTGGTCATGAATTCCACGTCATCACAAAAGTTGCGAAGCCCTAAATAAATAATATATGTACATATGTATGCATTAGAGATATTTCGAATGTCATATCTTTCACATTCGCGAATACGAATGCGAATGCTAATGTTAGGAATAACACTAAAAAAAGCTATAATTAACAAATTCATCGTTTTATAAATTATTATAACATTGAACCAGTGCTTAACCTATGCAGTGTTTTAATCTATTAGTCAAAGTTCAAAAGGGGCATATTAAATTTCAGAAAAAGTGATTTTGTTGCCTTTTCTCCCATAAGGCGATTTCTTAGAGGCTCGTATATAAGGCCGGCTGCACTGAACAATTGCTCACTTTCGACAATTAAAATACAAAATTTAACTAGTGGTGATTTCGTTTCATCCAAAAAATGTGGCCCTTCTCCGGTGCAAAGGAGCATGTTTTTGCCTTCTTGTCCGTGTCTAGCTCACGCGATTCATAATATTGTCCTCTTAAGCAACTATAATGGTATTCACCAAAGTGAGCAAGAGGCCTGGCAGTCTAGCAAAAGAGCAGGTCAGCTCAAGCAACCAATTTTTGCTAGACCGCCAGGCCACTTGCTCAATTTGGGGAATATCACTTATCTGATTTACTCCTGACAAAACATCAAAGGGTAGGGAATGTGCCTTTTTTGTCTTACAAGAATGTGACATTTTAATAAACAAACAAAAATTTTTTCACCCTTGGCCTTTATTTTGGAATCGAACACGAAAAGAGAAAGGGCAAACAAAAGGCGAAATATAGAGGAAAAAGTGCAAACATTAACAAAAAATGCGAGCACATTTGAGGGCGCCCAATTAGATCTAAATATTTCTATATAAGAGTTGTTTTGCCTGTAAAATACAAAACGTTAAATTGAAACAACCCTGCAAAAAATGCGACTAATCCGGGATGACTCCGGGAGCAATCGCAAAGGAACATGCGACTAATACCACTTTCGATCACTTCATATGGAATGAACTGTTCGCTTTTGTTCGAACATGTCCTATGAAGAGACTAACCCCCCTATTATGAATTCGTACGATGCACGATAGACCCTTGTATTGTGAAATTCTCAGTGTTGCCACAAAAACAAATACCAAACTCCTCCAAAACAAATGAAAAATCCTCAGAATCCGGACTAATTACTCAATATTTTCTTATTAGAGATATGTGTATTGTGTACTGCATACTATTTACAGGTACTTAGTATAAAAATTAATGACATTCTCCAATTCAATTGGTACATTTGTTCTTGCGGTTCAAACAAAATATCACCGTTGTTTTTTATGTCTTGGTATATAATATTGTATATAATATTGCTGCAACTATATCAGTGATCAATCTTGTCCTCAAGTCAGTCCTACACATTTTAAACTACTAAGTATACGTTCTACTGAAGCATTAGAAAGGGGCTTTATTAGCAATGCAGATATATATATTTTTTTTTAATTGGGAAACTTATATGAACCTGAAGAATCTTTTAATTCAAAAACTTTTTTCCTACAATTTTCTGGATCTAATGAAGAATCAGTATGAATATCCTTATGATCGAACAATGCGTGTTCTCTCGATTCGTTACCGAGATTTTGTAAGTTCAAAATACATAAGTTGGAAATATAACGATGGAATCAAAAAAATTATCGATAAGATCGGTGAGATACGAATGAAAGCGGGCGTGTTTTGGCTGCGCTCCGCGATTTTTTATGTGTTTCGGGCTTGTTTGGCCTATTAAAGGGCCAAAGCTAATGCACGCTTAACTTAAGGCGATCAAGACAGTGACTTTCTTCTTTAAGCTAAATTGCTAAAAAAAAAATAAAATAAAATAAAAATAAAACTAAAACAAAAACTAATTATTAAATTAATATGCCCTGTGTTTCTGGTCAAAGAGTCGAAAGAAGTGCTAAAGCAAAAGTGCAATGTGCCAAGTGCAATGACTTTTTTCATTTGGGATGTGTTGGTGTCACGTCAGCCGATGTGGAATTCCTACTTAGCTCGGCAAATCATTATTTTTGCAAAATCCCGATGTTCGTCGCAAATCTCTCCGCACACCTCCTCCTGTAGATGAGAATGTGGTATTAACAAACGATACTCACTCGTATAATTCGTTGTTGCCGCAACTCGAAGTTTGTAGGAGAGAGCACGACGAGGAAAGGAGAGGGGCACCGAGTTGCTCGTGCTCGGGCAACACGCTTTGTGCTCTCGTTCGTCTGTGTAAATTGAATTAGCGGTTCACAGTTGACAACAACAATTGCACACACAAAAATCGCCGTGTGTAAATGAAACGAGCAACACCAAAAGGGAATGTGAAAAA